TTTTTATTATTTTTAGTTAAAGTTTATTCTTTTTTATTGTTCATATAAATCTAAAATTAATTTTTTTATATTTAGTTAATCACATTTTTGTGAGTTTGACATTTTATTTATTGTTATATTACTTGAAGCAACTAAAGTAATTTTTAGTACATCAATTTTAATTATAACTTAATATTATTATATTTAATAATTATTAAAAAAAATGTACAATATAATTAAACGAACCCTGGTGCAATTTCAGAGTCTAGTACTAAGAAAAGAGCACGAAGAACTCGGTATCTAAGGGCAAAAGAATAGAGTAAATGAAGATTAAAATTGATAAATAAATCGAATCATCATTCTTTTTGGATTGTTACCACTAAAATGGACCAGTAGACGATTAAGATCTGCATAACTTTTATTATGAACTATGATCATTGACAAGTTGTCATTCATTTTATGGAACAAGATGTAGCTCCGCGATGATATTTAGGAGAGGAAAGAAAGTTATTCAGTCATTGTCAATTGTCAACAAAGATGTTTTATAAACGAAAGAACCTAGAACTCAAAACTCTTGTCTTCCCTTTCCTTAGATTTGTTTAGAACACAAAAGATGGAAAAAAAAGTCAACAATACCATTTTTTTTATTTTTTGTTTTTGAACATGGGAAGTTATAGGAGAATTGGAAGGTTTTGGACGAAGATTAGGTTGAAGGCCAGTTATACCTATTTAATTAACGCTAAAACTATTCTTACTTCTGACTTTGAATGCCTTGATATTCGTCCAACTGCGGTAGTTTTGTCCTCAACCAGTCCCATCTATTATTCATAATGTATATTAAATAATGGCAACTTCATAACTTCACACCAATTTGATCAGACATCAATAGCTATTTTCCCTTAAAATCTACGGGTTTTGAAGGTTTTAAAGAAAGGCAAATGAGATCTTCAGGAATTTTTTTGATCTTATTTTTCTCTGTTTTAATCATATATCTTCCTTCTGCTGCCGATACTGACTTCAATTGTGCACCTGGTAACAATGGCAACTACACGGCCAACAGTACATTCGGGACCAACCTCAACCTTCTGTTTTCACAGCTATCCACCACGGTAGATTTCAATTATGGGTTCTATAATTTGTCCGTCGGTCGGAGCCCTGACCAGGTCAACGCAATCGGACTCTGCAGGGGAGACCAAAAGGAGGACGCTTGCAGAAGTTGCCTCAACGAGACCATCTCTGAGCTCGTGCAGCAATGTCCCAATTACAAAGAGGCGATCGGATGGTCAGAATTCTTTACGTTACACTACTCAAGTCAACAACTCTTTGGATCCATGGAATCCAGTCCTTCCGTTATACTTAGTAATCCTAACAATGTATCGGATGTAAATGGGTTCAATCAGGCATTAAGCGACTTGTTGTATAACTTGAGCGGTCGTGCGGCTGCCGGAGGACCTCTTCTCAAATATGCAG